AAAAAAAAAAAAAAAAACACATCATAGTAAAACCAATACCTTCTCAGCTTCGCATCGAAGCTAAAAAACACACATCATAGTAAAGCCAATATCTTCCCAGCTTCACATCGAAGCTAAAAATGTCAAAATTTATTTATATTAAAAATCAAATTTTTTTTGCGGAATTTTCCTCATTTACAAAAAATAAGGTAGTTTCTAAGGGCAATGACTTCAACCAGATATGATTTCTGTTCTTTTGACGTATGTTTGAAAAAGACGCCAACTGGAAGCACACGTGTAATTAAAAACCTCTATTACAACTTGTAGAAGTTTCATACACAACCAGGCGTTTAATGGAATTGTCTTGTTCGTGTTAACGCCATATTCTATAGAAGACATTATATGTTTGTGCATACAAACCTAAATATCGAAATTTGAGGTCTATTCAAAAAGTATTCTGCATTTTTATAGGCATATCTAATAAACAATCATTGATAACTAGTATGTTATGTAACATAAAAACAAAAAATTAGTCTTTATAAAAATTTAATGATACACAATTTATTTTAAAGTTCTAGTGATACTATTAAAAGATTTAGACAATAATTTGGTAACTTACGTTTCATAACTATGATAGTTTTGACTTTTTAGTTAAAAAGTATGTATTTTCTAAGATCTCAAATTATTATAAGAGAACAATGGATACAGTAATTTAAAGAAGGTGTATTAAGTCACAAAAAAAATTTGATCTAAAGTAATTGATTTAATAATGAAAAAATATTTCTGTATTTTTTATAATCATGCAAGACATAAAAATGAGTTGCTTTACAATTGCATTAATCCTATTTAAAAGAACATATTATGTTTTTTTTTGAGGGGGAGGGGGCATATGTTAGTAGCCTGCTCGAGACCGCCCATGCAAACTGTATTTTACCTTAGAGACCGTGACCAATAGCCAACATTTCGACAGACGAGCATCAATTCTCGATCGCACATCCCATAATGAGTACAATATCAAAACATGTTCTTTTAAGGTAGGTTTTATTAAAACTAACCTACTTTGTAAAATTAATTCAATAAATTGGTTTGATAATTAGCATTTTAAAAATAGACTAAAATAATACTTTTTTATTTTTTTAGTCATACCATTTTTTAAAACAAAAAAACTTCTCATAAACATATAAATTTATTAAAAACAAATATAGTAACAAAAAATTTTTAGAGAAATAAAAACAAATGTAAGAAAAAAAAAATGTATAACAATAAAATAAATTAGGTAAAAGGCAAGAAACGAAATTTGTACAGTTCGTATTTTTTTCTTTGTATAAAAACAAATTATAAAATAACGATAATTTAATGATTTTAATAAGGATGATAAAAGGAACATAAAGTTTTAAAAGTTTAACAAATTTGATTACATGAAATAACTTGGGGAGGTAACTCAATTAAAAATGTTCTTCGACACTGTTTGATGGATTATAAAATAATTTTAAACTATTAAAATTTTATTCGTGTTCTGAATGTTCTTTAGAACTAGAATCAGAGCTAGAACCAGAATCACTACTTNGTTCTGAATGTTCTTTAGAACTAGAATCAGAGCTAGAACCAGAATCAGAACTTGATGAAGAATCACTACTAGAATCAGAACTTGAACCAGAATCACTACTATAATCAGAACTTGAAGAAGAATCACTACTAGAATCAGAACTTGAATCAGAATCAGAACTAGAATCAGAACTTGAATCAGAATCACTACTAGAATCAGAACTTGAAGAAGAAGAAAANACTAGAATCAGAACTTAAAGAAGAAGAAGAATCAGATTCAGAATCAGAATCGTCCGAAGAATTTATTTTTGAAATCTTTAAGACTATTCTGTCTTCCAATTCATCAGGTTGGGCCAAGTAAATCTCAACGCTACTCGAGTATTTGAGTCTATTCGATGATTTACATGCGTCGAGAGCGTCTGTAGACCGTGTTGTGTTAGAGAAAAGTCCTGTTGAATTTTAAGAAATAAAATGCGAATTAAAATATTATCATTATGAATATTTTCATTAAAGTGTATAAATCGATTTTTTACCATCGCAATCATAGTCAGTTTCTGAATCGTCTTTATTTTTCGATTCGTCGTCTGAATCAGATGTTGAAGACGTGGCCCTTATTTTCAACACTACTCTATTTTCTTTGTATTTACTCGAGTGAAACTCTACACAGCTTGAGTATTTACACCTCTTCGATGGCTCATATCCATCAAATGTATTTGCCCTTTTCAACGATTGTGAACTATTACATAGTTCAGTCGACTTAACCGAATTAGTAGGATGTATATCCATATTTTCGTAACCTGATAAATATTAACAAATTAAGCATGACTATTATTGTAAAAAATAACAAATATAGCCGATGATTAAAAAAATTTTATTTCATACTTTTTTGACGTTCAACTACATAAGTCTCATCGTCATGTTCGACTTTTCTTTTCGTAGATGATTCGTCAAATTGTGTTGAAAACAGTTCTACGAGTATTTCGTGAGGGTCCTTCCAATAAGATGCACGTGATCGGTCAATTTTTTCTATTATTTCTTTGGCGAACGGTTCATAGTTTTCTACTGGAACTGCTATGGATCGAGTAGATTTGCGGTACGAACGCTTAGGCATGTCTTTTGCTGTAGTTTTAATATTGGATTCAATTTTAGGATTGTCACTCAAGCACTTTTTTTTATTGACAGGAGCCTGTTTCTTAAACGGAATTGTAGGTTTTCCACGCAATTTTTTGAGCTGGGCATACAATTTTTGGGTCTTCGTGCTCATCGTTATAAATAATTTTAATAATTAAAACTTGAAAATGTCAACAACGTTAGTTTTGAGAATAATTAAAAAAATTGATGATAATGTTGAAAGTCAAAAAATTCTCAAAGATAACCTGAGAGTAAAAATGTTTGCTAATTTACAAATAAAAAATTTTATCCATAGAAACTATTAACAGAAAACTTAATTAAATATTTTTT